GAAATCAGGGATACATTTATATAAGGGTTATACCAAAACGTGGCCCAACCAATATTCTCTTGGGGGTTACAAATTCAATAGAAAACAAAATTTTCTTTTCTGACCACCAATTAGATGTGAAAGTGGACTTGGAGATACTCCATTGTGGGGACTTTATTTAAATAAATTCCTGTGTGGCAATTATCTGTATGATGGTTCCCTACCCCAGGGTAGCATAAATACAATTTTTAGCCAAATCAATTAATGAATATGGTCAAGACCAAAATGGGCCCTACTCTGAAAATTTCAAACTTTATGCGAAGAGGTTTTCTACCTCCTTAGAAACAAATATGCCAAATAATGTCCAAAATATTAAAAAAGTGACCAAGACACCAAAAAAACTTAAATCATACGATGGTTATATAAATATGGAATCGGGTTGTACCCTTATCCGTGAGTTATGATCGATATCATGACCTGCAAAAGCGATTAAAGGTATCTCGAATGTTTGGGAAGAATTTCTGCAAGGATAGAAATTCTTTTCTTACTAAGAGTCCCATTCGCTCTACTATTTTCCACCCTTTATATTTGGTATTTTCTGATTGTACATTGGACGGATTATTGTGACAGGAAAGAAGTAGTTCCACGCTTTGAAATGAGCCCCATTAGGGTTTTTCGGTAATTTTCGTTTGTTCAAATGTGTTCGCATCTTCCAGCTGAACCACGATGTCGGCCCTGGAGTTGAAAGGTAGATGTCAGTTAACATCGTATTTCCCACTTATTTAATTTTTTGGTGAAAATTTGTATATAGTGAAAAATTATTCTTTATTTTGTTCACAAAAAATTTACTGAATTCAATTAGATAATACAAATTGAAAAAAAAAGTGACAAAAGAAGAATAACACATTGAAAAAATCTTCAACTTGTTCGCTGATTTTTTACAGAAAATGTTTAAAGATCCTTATATAGTTTGTCAATAGAATGTACTTCTATTTTAAAATTCGATTCCATTAAATTATTTCGACATCATCTATTCCGTTTCGCCACCACAAAATTCGGTACTACACTTCCATGTAACTCGCCATCAATTTCATTTCTCAAGAAATCAAGTCAATTAAATAAATTGGTATTAATATTTGAATTCAAAAAAAAAAAAAAAATAAATAAATAAATAAAAATAAAAAAACACTACAAATGTACATTAGAAAAAAGTAAGTCAAAATGGAAAAAAATTATGCAAAATAAAACATTACTATTGTACATTTCAAAAGTCAAATGAAATGTTAATATAACACATTTTTACGCGATTTTTTTGGATATTATCCTTTTCGGAGAGGAGACAATTCCGAATTTGTATGAATCGTTAAAATTAGTCCAGCGGTTCTTAAGTTATAAGCGTAGTAACTAACACAACTTTCTTTTATATATATAGATTATTATTTTTATTATTATTATTAATATTATTATTATTATTATTATTATTATTATTATTATTATTATTATTTTTATTATTATTATTATTATTATTATTATTATTATTATTATTATTATTATTATTATTATTATTATTATTATTATTATTATTATTATTATTATTATTATTATTATTATTATTATTATTATTATTAATTATATTATTTTTAATTTTATCATTATAATTTTTATGTTTTATTATCTTTTCTTTTGGCTTTTATTCAAAAAAATATTCTTACCGGGATCTGTTATTTTCCCCTGCATTAATGCAGCAAAATCTCGACAATAAATAGTTACAAAGACGATAAAACCAAAGAATTTCATGTTTAAATGTAAACAGCTGCAAATCAACTAATTTGTTGAATTCGAAATCAATTGATTTACTAGACGTTTTTATAATCTTGGAAATGCAGTGATTATCCACAAATGCCGCATGCAATGGAACAAACGTATGTTATTATTTAGAAAAGAATACAGCGGAATTCCAATAATTCTCAATCGCAAGGGAATACCCAGCATCCATTAATGAGAAGAGGTTTTCCATTTAATTTGATATATATTGGGAAAAGCAGGTTGGAGTAAAAAAAATCCCAAGATTTTTTTTTTTTTTTTTTTTTTTTTTTTTTTTTTTTTTTTGACAGGAACTTCTTTACTAAGGTTGGACTTCAGGTTTCTCAGATTCTTTGAAAAGACAAGAAAAAACTAATTCCACGATTTAAACAAATAAATACGATATTTTTTTCCCTTGAAACAAAGTATATAGCCGGAAAATCTTAAATATGGTCTTTAAAAATGCACTTATTTTGGCCTGACTCCAAAATAAACTGACGGTCGTGGAGTCCAGTACATAATTTTTGTCAAAATCCTTTTTTTTTCAAAACCCAATTTATGACCGATTTCAATCGATCCAAAATTTGTTTAAAAAATATGTTTTATACCCTCCAGCATGGTATGAAGGGTATATTAACTTTATCGTTCCGTTTGTAACACCTCGAAATAAATATTTTAGACCCCTCAAAGTATATATATTCTTCAGCGTAAAATTCTATGACGATTTAGCGATGTCCGTCTAACTGTCCGTCTGTGGAAATCACTCTAGCTTCCGAACGAAATTAAGTAGATTGATAAAATTTTACTCATATGTATATTATGTCTGCAGGACTTTTGATATTGAAAATGGGCCATATAGGTCCAAGTTTTGGTATAGCCCCCATATAACGGTACCTCCATATTTTCCGTATTTTGATTATTTTAGCGACATTATTAATAACATTTGTTTTAAATTTGGTATTTGAAGTTCGAAATGGATAATGCAGTCTAAGATAGAAATTTTTCTGTATAGGTCCACGTCTTCATATAGACCCCATATAACGGCATCTCCCGATATTCGGTACTTTGATGATTTTAGCAAATTGTTTCAAATTTAATACTTGAAGTTCGTAATGGGTACTACAGCCTATGACAGAAAATTGTATGTGCAGGTCCACGGCTTTTTATAGCCCCCATACAACTGCACCTTCCTCTATTCGGTATTTTGATGATTTTAGCGACATTAATTGTTTCAAATTTAGTAGTTGAAGTTCGTAATGGATACTACAGCCTAAGTCAGAAAATTGTCTGTGTAGGTCCACCTCTTCATATAGCCCCCATATAACGGTACCTCCGATATTCGGTATTTTGATGATTTTAGCAACATTATTGCCCAGAATAGTTTCAAGTTTAATTCTTGAATTTCGTAATGAATACTACAGCCTATGAATGAAAATTGTATGTGCAGGTCCACGTCTTCGTATAGCCCCCATATAACGGTACCCCCCGATATTCGGTATTTTGATGATTTAAGCAGCATTATTTACGCAATTGTTTCAAAATTAATATTTCAAGTTTGTAATAGAAACTACGGCTTTAGACAAAAAATGGGCCATGTTGGTCCACGCCTTCGTCTAGCCCCCATATAACGGTACCTTCCTCTATTCTATATTGTGATGATTTTAGCGACATTATTCCCCGGAATTGTTTCAAATTTGGTATTTGAAGTTCGTAATGGATACTGCAGCCTAAGGCAGAAAATTATCTGTGTAGCTCTACATTTTGGTATAGCCCCCATATAATAGTACCTCACTAATGGCTTATGGCCAAAATTGCCTATGCATGTCCATGTCGACGTTTAGACCCTAATATGAGGGCTGCATTTGATATTTTTAAGATTTTAACAAAATTTTAAACGGATTTTTTTTTTTTTTGACAATTGCAAAATTCGTTCCAAATGTTGGAGGGTATTCAAAGGCCTAACGTACAGCTTTTTTACTTGTATTTTTTTCTTTTTGACAGGGACTTCTTGAATGAGGTCAGACTCACGATTCTGTAAAAGCACAGTAGCTTCTTGAAAGAAAGTATTTGGCCGGAAAATCTTAAATAGGGTCTTTAAAAAATCCACTCAGGAGACTTGACTCCAAAAAAATTGACGGTAGTCGAGTCCAGTAAATACTTTTGGTCAATTTTTTTTCAAAACCCAATCGGGACGGGCTTCAAAAATTCCCTCCAAAATTTGTTTGAAAAATTCTGTTTTTTTTTTTTTGGAATCACCCATATTTCCGCCTAGGGTTTATATCACTTCATACGTCTAAAAAATACCTCATCAAAATAACGGTTGTGGACCCTAGGTCTCTTTGAACGAAATCCGTATCAGGACAGTTGGAGTCAATCTACGACGATCTGTACATCCGTCTGACAGGCTGATGCGCACGCTCCAAACATTCTACATCGAAACTATTATCAAACTTAGATAGATGGGCAATCGGCCCCAGCTCCTTCTGGTACCTCCTCCACAAAAGGTCAAGATTTTCACAGTAAAAATTTACCTCAAGGACAAGAAAGAATGCGAAATGGGCATTCAAATATTTCCAAGTGTCACACATCTCACTATTTTTATTAGGAAAGGATGTGGTGTGAAGGTGGGATACACTGGTTCAATTCTTTTGGTACCTCTCCTCACAAAGGACTTCAATTTTTGAAAGACCAAAACGCTGATAAGATTTCTCACAGATAAGATGATAGATAAAATACCCGATTATTCGACCCGAAAGTTCGAATATAAAGTCCTGTTCTACAAAACTAAATGTACAAAATGGGTAACATTTGAAAGCTTATGGATATACCTACCCATATGATGGGTCATATGATGAGATTTTCACCGGTTCCGGAGCAATGGACGGATTTTGTATCCAAATTTTCGGGTCGAATAACCAGCTAGCCAGGTATTTTCCCCCACGAAAAATTACTTTTCCGTAATCAGGTTAGAAATATATACCTCTGATACAAATTTTAAGTCAATCCGAGTAAAGCCTCTAAACGCAACTTAAGCTTGATTTTCTATATGGAAAAAATTGTTGATATAGTCCAAATCTGGCACTTTGTAATATTTTTATCAGTTCAATATCAGACACAAATGGACAATATTGTCCCACTCCTTCGTAACCACCCCTCAAAATAAATATAAATAAATGGACATTGGCAGAAGGTATACATCTGTCGGCAAAACCGATTGATACTTAACGACTTGTTGTCATCTAATTTTGTAAAAAAAAAATTAGCCTTTAATTATTTCCATTTTCAAGATTGCGTATCTCAAATCAAATCAAAAATTCCATATCCGACCATTTCTCGTTTCCAAGTATTGGTATTTTAAAATAATTCATTTTCATGTTCGTCTACATTGTCGGGACAAATGATTTCCTTTTCACAGCACTGGGGATACTGAGCATCGGGGTACATGTAATCACCCATAACACAGGGTGGCTGTGCTCCTTGCGATCCACAACTAAAATATGATTTTTTTATTAAGAACTATAAAAATACAAGAAATGATAAATATTTCTTACGTATGAATTCTGCCGCTACCATCAGCACCAAAGCACAAGACACGAAGACATCTGCCCTCGGGATAACCACTTTCGCCGGGTGACAAAATCAAATCCTTATAAACACACTTGCCAGGGTGCTCTAAATAATGAATATACAATTAATTGTCATTATTTTACTAATTATAATTGCAAATATTTCTACCCGGATCTCCCATCTTGGCAACCATGACAGCAGCAAAACTGCCGCATAAAATCGAAATAATCACAACCAAACCAAATAATTTCATGTTTGAACGTAAAATGCTAGAACTCAACTATTCAATATTTGAAACCAAAATTTATTTATTTGCTAAACATTTTCTTCATTATCTCCGATTAACAAATTTATGATTGCCCACAAAGGCCAAATAAAATGGAACAAGTGCGATTATTAAACAAGTGTAGCCGATCAATGGTTCGACGGTGACAAACTTATTATACCCTACAGTAAATAAAAACCTACAAGTTGGATGTACTGAAATATAATAAAATTTTTCCCAAGGCAATATTCTAAACATATGTAACCCTAGGAAGCTCGGAAATGCTATGGTTGGGCGAGGCCAAAAATCCAATTATAAAGAATTTTCAAAATTTATTTTTTTTTATATATTTATGCGATATCAATGTAAAGGTCAGAGGTGATTTTTTTTTTGTTAATGTGATTTAGTCAGCAACAAAAATATTACGGTTGAATGGAAATTATGTTTTTTTTTTTTAAGTAATATACCATTGCTGTCGATTAAAATTATTCAAAAATCATCCAAAACCATCCAAATCATCCAAAGTCAAACGCTATAATTATACCCTACACCACAAGGTGGTCAGGGTATTATTTCTTTGTGCATTTTTTTTTTTTTTTTTGTAACAGGCAAAAGGAAACTAGATAGACCCACAGTTCCTTTTTATGATCTGCATAGAATCACATTATGTCCGTCCGTCTGTCCATTCATATTTGTACACAAAGTGCAGTTCGCATTTATTACCCGATCCAGATGAAAATTTGCACAAATCATTTGTTTGGTCCAAGGACGATCTCTATTGAAATTGGAGATAATCAGTAAAACAATTAGAAATAGCTCCCATATATATCTTCCTCCGATTTGCATTTTATTGTACACCAAACGTGTAATATCAGCCCGAATAGTATGGAATTTAGCACATACAACCAAATTAGGCCTGAAAGTACGTATGCCAAATTTGATCGAAATCGGTTCAGATATAGCTATAGCTCCCATATATATTGTTCATCCGATTTGTTATTTTAGTCCTCCGCAGACGTAATATTCACTCTGTAACAACAATATTTGGGGAAATATATCAAATACAGCTCAGAAATACATTTGCTAAATTTTACCGAGATCGGTACGGATTTGGATATAGCTCCCATATATAACTTCGTCCGATTTACTTTTTATTGTGAAACAAACGTCTAATATTTGCCAAATGGGATAAAATTTGGCACCTACGACCGAATTGAGTCTAGAAGCTAGTATGTCAAATTTGGTGAAGATATAGCTATAGCTCCCATACATTTAGCTAATCCGATCTGTTATATTTGTTACCCGCAGCCGTAATATGCACTCCGTAACAACGATATTCAGGGAAATATATGAAATACAGCTTAGAAATATATTTGCCAAATTATATCAAGATTGGTTCAGATTTCGATATAGCTCCCATATATATCAAGTGGGCAATACAAGTCCGAATTTAAAAGATACAAATGCTTCGGAATATTTAGTCTTTTGAACTTTAAATTATAATTATAATCGTAGCGTGTATGATTGAATTCTCCCATAAAAACTTTTAATTGTTATGTGGAGCTCTACTAAATTAGCAAAGTGGTGTAGGGTACCATAAAGTCGGCCCCGCCCGACTTTAAGACTTTCTTTACTGGTTTTTACATTTGTTTTTAAATTTTATTGAAAATATTGGAAATAGAATAAACGACCAACGAAACCGTCACACTCTGCCCGAATGTTGCTCTGTGGTATTTTGGTCCATTCCCAGCGAAGCGCTTGCTTGAGGTGATCGACACTTTGGTACTTTTTAGTGCCAACCTTGCTTTCCAAAATACTCCAGGAACAATAGTCTAACGGATTGGTATCCGGAGATTTTGGTGACCATTGTTGGCTGGAAATGAAGCGAGAAACCTCATTTTGTAACCATTGTTGGGTTGCGGTGCTGAGTCCCGTTGGAATGTCCAGGGTCTGCGGTCAAAATGTTTTCGTGCCCAAGGCTTTAATACACTCTTCAGAATATTTTCGCGATAATATTCGGCATTTATTCTGATGGCACCTTTGATTAATATGAGCGGTGAGCGACCATCGGCTGTTATGGCTTCCCACACTCACCATCGCCGGCACTTGAGTTCTGCTGACCAACCGAAGGTGTACATTTTCAGCTGACCTTATTTTCAAGTAATCACGATCATTTTGTTCGTTTACAAACTGCTGGACAACGAATGTTTTCTCAACGGAGAAACCCAAATTCGGCAGTTTACCACTTTCGGTCAAGCGAAGCAACTATTTAGCGCTTTTGAGCCTATTTTCTTTATGTTGCTGTGTCGGTTCTTCCACTTTTTGGAATTTCCATGGCTTTATCCCTAGCTCATTTTTCAATATTTGCCGAATGGAATATGGATTACTGCGATAATTTCAGTTCACAAACCATTTTTCGGCCACTGCGACGCGTGTTTCGATCAATTCGCTTCTTTACTTTTCGAACTATTTCAGCTGATGTTGCTGTCTTCTTACGTCCACTTCCTTGACGTCGGGCTACGCTACCAGTATCACGGTAACGAGCGATGGTACGAGACACAAAAGATTAATTCACATTTAAATGCTGAAGTGCTCTAACGATAGCCACTTGAGGTTTTCCAGACAAATATAATGAAATCACATTATCACCCTTGAATTCCATCACGAATAACTTTTTTTCTGGAAAGTGCTCACAAAAATGCTTTTGTTCGCTTGTAAACAATATAATTAGCTATCACTGGAATAATTTTAACAGCTGTCGGACGAGTGGCTTAGATATGACAGCAGTCTGAAGTTGGTTGCAGTTTCTTGATCTTACCCTGTAAGTATTGCGACGTGTCAGGTTTGGTCTATATTAACTTTTTCCTTCACTTTATATGAGATATGCGATTATTTTTTAGAACATGTTAAAATGTGCTTGATGTACCAGATATAGTCGACCGAAGTATTCAGTTTTCATACTGCATCTAATACAGACGAAAATATTCGTGAGATAAAAATATTGACGATTTCATATCCATCCCACATTTGAGAGACATAATTAGATATAGCAAGTTGTAAACACTCGCTGATTTGTTTCGTAAGTTATTACAGATAAAAGTATTGACAATTGTTACCCTTTGTGGTTGAGGTACCAGAAGGGTTTCACAGATATATACTACCTTTACAACACATATTTTCTTAGCCAAAATATTTGTATGTGTAAAATTTGAAAAGAGTTAGATGCTTGTTTCGCTTTCTTTGAGCGTTTTGTTTTGTCTTGAACCTTATATGGGGGAGGTACCAGAAAAAATGGTCCGATCTCTACCTTCTTAATAAGAGATCTTGTGCTGATGGAAATATTGAGTTGTGCTACGTCTGAGTGGAATCGGATGTTATTTTCGCGTTGTATGAGCTTCATGGTCATTCAAAATGTTGACCCTTTGTGGGGATGTACCAAAAGGAGTGAGCCGATATATTCCCTTTTTATACCCTACACCACATAGTGGTAAGGGTATTATGTCTTTGTGCATTTGTTTGTAACATGGAGAAGGAAACGAGATAGACCCATAGTTACTTTTGAGAACCTTCATAGAATCACTTTCTGAGTGGATTTCAGTCCGTCTGTCCGTCCGTCCGTCCGACTGTCCATGTATTCTTGTGAACAAAATGCAGGTCGCATTTATTATCCGATTGAGATGAAATTTTCCAAACAATATTTTTTTGGCCCAAGGACGAACCCTATTGAAATTGGTGAGAATCGGATCAAATTTAGATATAGCTCCCATATATATCTTCATCCGATTTGGGGTTAAATGTGCACCAAATATTCACTATCAGTCCAAATTACCTGAATTTTGGCACACCCAACCGAGTTCGGCCTAGAAGCAAGTATATCAAATTTGGAGAAAATGGGTTCAGATATAGCTATAGCTCCCATATATATCTTTCATCCGATTTGATCTTTAGGTCCCTCACATTCCTACTATGCACTCCACAACCGTGATATTTGGTACCAGGTATTAGATGGAGCACATGAATAGCTGTTTTAAATTTTATCGAAATCGGTTCAGATTTGGATATAGCTCTCATATATATCTTCATCCGATTTCGGGTTAAATGTGCACTAAATGGTCAATATCAGCCCAAATCACCAGTCTAGAAGCTAATACGTAAAATTTGGAGAAACCCGGTTCAGAGATAGCTATAGTTCGTAAAATGCACGATAGAATTAGATAGATTTTGATTTTGTACCAAATATCTCATAGAGCTCTGAAATGCCCTGTATAAACCTTTTTACGAGAGCTCTACTAAATATGCATAGTGGTGTAGGGTATCATATAGTCGGCCCCGCCCGACTTTTGAGCTTTCCTTACTGGTTACACCTGACTTTGGGTAAATAAAAATATTGTGTTGTGTGTAATTTAAAGGCTATCCACTCTTACATCACATCTTACATCAAGTGTTATAATTATTCAAAATTTCGACCCTTTGATGGGGTGGACGATTTGCACCTAAGCTAGCACTGATGGAAATATTAGGATTTGCAAATTTGAAGCAAAATCGAATTATCCTTTCTCTTTCTGTGCAGTAAAATATTTTTTGAAAATTTTGACGTTTTCTGGTGGAGATACCAGAAAGAGTGGACCGATATTGTCCATCTCCAAACTCGATCTAAGTTTGTGGACCAAATTAGAGATTGCCTTCGAGAGTTATCGTGTTCACCAGCCAGACAGACGGACGGACATCGCTAGATCGACTCCAAATGTCCTGGAACGGCTATCATGAGAATAAACCAAGAGTCTAAAACCTTTATTTCGAAAAGGCACGTTTTGGCCGTATCAAATGATATGAATCAAATGATATTTACATACATATACATATTCATTTAAAAAAAAAATAAACAATTTTATACACTCAGCCATATGGTTTTAGAGGGTATATATCATTTGATACAGCAAAAACGTGCCTACTCAAAATAACGGTTTAAGACTCTAGGTATCTTTGGACCAAATATATTTCAGGACATTTGGAGTCGATCTAGCAATATCGTTCCACTCCATCAAGTACGTTCCCCACAAATTGATGTAAGAGTCCAGAGCACAATATTTTTATTAACCACAGGTCTGATGGGAAGATGGAATATATCGACCAACTGCTTTTAGTACCTCCCCCACAACGGGTCTATGTTTTGAATAACATCCGGTTGCATTCAGACTTGGAACATCACTCTATTTTCATCAACACAAGCTCTGTTACAAAGATGGTAGAGATCGGACCTTTTCTTGTGTTACCTCCCCCACATAGGGTTCAAGATTTTGAAAAAGAAACGAAATAAACATCCAAATCTCTTCAAATTTCAACCCCTTGGAGTCAACCACTTCTGGTACCTCACCACAACCAGAAACCTGAGATGAATATGAAATTTATGATTTCTCAAAAAATTGAATAAAAACATTCGATATTCTTGTAATTTTGCCAATTATTGTATCTGCCTTAGATGAACTATCGAAATGGAATACTTCGGTCCGATATATGTGGTAACTTACGCACATTTTAACATTTTCCAAAAATTATCTCATATAAAGTGAAGATAGCAACCAATATAGTCCAAACCTGGCACGTCGCAATATTTATATCATATTTATTTGTTTATGATACGAAATGGACAATTGGCCCATTTCTTTTAAACATATTCCATAGAGGGTTTGGATTGTGGTCGAAATACATACACATATTTACATTTTCCTTATTGTTTATTATCTACAATCGACAGTTTACAAAATTAGGGGCATACAACGTGGCGTTTACAACATTCGGGATATTTGCCATCGCGATTCACATAGTCACCCAATTTACATGGAGGGGCAGCCGCTTGAGTACCGCAACTGAAAATACAAAATGAAAAAAATATTCATCAAATCAATAAATCAAAAACCAGTAGGAAGAAGTCACAAGTTAGGCGGGGCCGACTATATGATACCCTACACCACTATGAGTATTTACATTAGCTCTACTAATGTAACAAAAAAAAGTTTATATTGGGAATTTATTTGAAGTAGATCATACCAGCTATGAACATACTTTGGATACGCATCATGGCTTTAGAGTAGTCACAATTTGAAAACTATATCCAACTCAGGATCTATTTTGAAAAAAATTTTGATGGTGGCTTTAGTACTTCTAAGAATTATATTAAAAAATATTTATTGGAACAAACTAATTCGGTTGAAAATGAAACAAAATATATTCAATTTGGGCTGATATTACATAAATGGTGAGCAATAACCGTAAAATCGGTTTGAAGCTATATAAAAATCTGAACCAATCTCCATAAAATTTGGCAAAGGTATTTTCGACCAGTATCTGATCCTGATATCAAATATCATTGCTGTACTTAAATATCTAAACCGATTTTCACCAAATTTAAAGCACTTGCTTTAAGGCTGAATTAATTCGGAATTGCCTAAATTCAGTCCATTTTGGCTGATATTAGACATTTGGTGCACAAAAAAACATTAAATCGGTTGAAGATATATATGGGTGCTAAATCAAAATCTGAATCAATCTTGAAAAAATTCAAGCACTTATTTTTGAGCTGTATGTGATATGGGGTACTAAAAATTATTGTTGTGGAGTTCATATAATGCATGTAAGGGACAAAAAACCCAAATCGGATGAGCTATAGCTATGGCTGAACCGATTTCACCAAATTTGAAGTACTTGTCTCTAGTATGAATTTAGTCGGAATTGGCAAGATTTAGTTCATTTGGGTTAATATAAGCCATTTAGTGCACAAAAAAACCTGAAATCTGAACTGATCTTAACAAAATTTATAACACTTATTTCCGAGCTGTATCTAATATTTGGTACCAAAGATTCTTGTTATGGAGTGCATATTACGCTTGCGAGGTACTTAAAACTCCAAATCGGTTGAAACATATATGTGGAACCGATTTTCACCAAAATTTGAAGCACTCGCGCTTCTAGGATAAATTGAGTCGGAATTACCATTTTGGCTAATATTAGCCATTTTGTGCACAAAAAACCTGAAATCGGATACAGATATGTATGGGAGCTATATCCAAATTTGGACCGATCTTGACAAAGTTTTAGGCACTCATTTCTGAGCTATTTGGTACCAACTATCTTTCTTGTGGAGTGCATAATACGCATGTGAGGGACTTACAACCGCAAATAAAATGAAACATTTATATGGGAGCTACAGCTATATCTACACCGATTTTCACCAAAGTTGAAGTACTAGTTTCTGTTATTAATTCAGTCGGAATTGCCAAGATTCAGCTCATTTGGGCTAATATTGGCCATTTGGTGCACAATTAACCCGAAATCGGTTGAAGATATATATATATATAGAAACCAATTTCAAGAGAGATCTTCTCTGGCCAAACAAATATTGTCTGAAAAAATTTCATCTCAATCGAATAATAAATGCGATCTGCATTTTGTTCACAAAAGTACATGGACAGATGAATGGACTGACATTCATAAATCAACTCAGAAAGTGAATCTATGAAAATCCTCAAAAGTAAATATGGGGCTATCTCGCCTCCCTTCTCCATGTTACAAGCAAATGCAAAAAGACATAATACCCTCACCACTATGGGGTGAAGGGTATAAAAAGTGTTATCAATGCAGTATTTGATAATATCACATAAAAATAATAATCCCTCGGGAAAATTCCAGTTTTTCTAAAATATTCTCACAGAACTTACCCCTGAATTGTGCCAAAACTATTGTCACCACACAAAAGGCGAACGCATTCACTCTTGGGATATCCCTCTTCACCGGCCGATAAGATCAAATCCTTGTAGACACACTTGCCAGGATGGGCTGAAAGCAAATTAATTTTTAAGTAAATAAAGTAAATTTCTTTTCCCTTATCCTTACCATCTTCTTTGAAAAATCCTGACATTTCATATGAAAATGCCATGGTACAGAAGGCAAGCACTAAAGCGATAACTAAAACTTTCATTTTAATGCAGTCAAACGATGGCGGAGAACATTTGAAACTGACAAATCTTAAGAGAGCACAAGTCGTTTTATATATTTTTAAGCCATGCATTTTATAGTCCAAGAAGTGTTATCAGCAAATGTTCGTCTTGTTTTTTATTTCGAAAGTTTATTTCAAAGAACACGTTATGATAAACTTGTATTAATCTCTTCATAAAAAGGTCGCTGCGTCTAAGAATCATAGATAGAATGACAACAAAAACTACACCAAAAAAGAAATAGACAAATTTAATAAGAATTTAAAAAAGAACAGATGTCTACAAAAAAACATTAAATTTTTGACCGAAAATTCGGAATCTAGAAAAATATTTTGTTGTCATAATTTTTGAACATAGCATAGTTCGCTCTAGAAGAACCAATTCGCTGAGAAAGTGCAGAAACGAATAACTGATAAAAATGTTAATGCTGTATAATTAATTTCAAATCGTTCAATTCATTTTTCGTTTCAGCAAGCAGTAACATTTGTATACCCTCCACCAGGGTATATAAAGTTCGTCATTCCGTTTGTAACTCATCGAAACAATAGTTTTAGACCCAACAAAGTATATATATATATATATATATATATATAAAGTAAAATTCTAAGACGATTTGTCCCTTCCTTCCGTCTGTTGTAATCACGCTGGAGTCAAAACGAATTAAGATAGGAAGGATATCGAATGACCCCCACACAATGGTGTTCTCAATATTGGGTATTCCAAGGTGGGAAAATGGGATATATCGGTCCACTCCTTTTGGTAAATCCCACAAAATGCTGATCCTTTGTGGGGAGGTGCCAGAAGGAATGTTCCGATCTCTAGCATCTTTATAACATATCTTGGGTTGATAGAACTGTTGAGATGTGCCTAGTCCGAATGGAATCGGATTTTAATTTTGCGTTTTATGAGCTTCATTGTATTCAAAATTTTGACCCTTTGTGAGGGAGGTTCCAGAAGGAGTGAACCGATATATGCCATCTTCTAGCCAGACTTTGGGTTAAAAAAAATATTGTGATGTGTGCAATGGGAAGAGAACCGGAGGCTTATTTCCGATTTATAATAGTTTCGGTTATTCAAAACTTCGACTCTATGTGTGGGAGATACCAGAAGGAATGGTCCGATCTCCACCATCTATATAACAGATCTTATGTGTATAAAAATTTCGAGATGTACGAAGTCTGAATGGAATAGGATGGTAATTCCGCGTTTTATGAGCTTCAGGGATATTAAAAATGTTGACCTTGGTACTTGATGGAGTGGACCATTATTGTCCAATATTAGGAGTTGCAACGTTGAAACAAAATCGGATTATCTTTTCACTTTTTATCCAGTACAACGTTTTTTTAGAATTTCGAATTTTTGTGCGGGAGGTACCAGAAGGAGTGGACCGACATTGCCCATCTCTGAATTCGATTTAAGTTTGATAATAATATTACGATGTACCAAGTTTGGACCCAATCGGTTACTCCCTTAGAGATTAATGACACGCACCAGCCAGACAGACAGATAAACAGGCGGCCGGACATCGCTAGATCGACGCTAAATATCTTGAAATGGATTCGCCGAAAAGAGTCCTAGGGTCTAAAACCCTTATTTCGACGAGACACCTTTGATGATATATACCCTCTATATACCATATGGCTGAGGGTATAACCAGAAAAGTCTAAGTCGAGCTGGGCCGACTTTGTGGCACCCTACGCTACTTTGCGTATATAATACAGCTACATATAACACACAAACGCTTTGATGCGGAATTAATACATACCAAATATGATTGTTTTTGAATTCGAATTATTAATCAAAACTCATTCAATTTGAGCTGATATCATCCTTTTGGTACAGAAACAACCTAAAATCGGATACAGACATGTATGGGAGCTATACCCAAATCTGAACCGATCTTGACAAAATTGTAAACACTAATTTCTAAGCCATTTCGGATATTTTGTTTCAAATATTATTGGTGTAGAGTGAATATTCGCATGTAAGGAATTTAAACACCAAATCGGATGTAACATATATATGGGAGCTAAAGTTATATCGGAACCTAATTTCTCCAGATTTGAAATACTTGTATCTACGATGAATTCAATCGGAATGGCAAAAATTCAATCCCTTTAGGTGGAAATTTGTCATTTTGTGAGCAATAAATCTGATGTCGGATAAAGATATATATGGTATATCGATAAAATTTTATATATGTATTTTTGAGCTCCATAAGTTATCTGGTACCAAATATCATTCTTCTGGGGTGCATATTACGCATGTGAGGGATTTAAACTCCGATCCAAATCCGATGAATCATATATATGGAAGCTATAGTTATATCTGAACCGATTTTCACCAAATTTTAATGTACTTGCTTCTAGACTATATTTGGTCGGATGTGCCAAAATTCAGCTCATTTGGACTTTGGTGCACAATTAACCCGAAATCGGTTGAAGATATATGTGGGAGATATATCCAAATTTGAACCGATTCTCACCAATTTCAATAGGGTTCGTCCTTGGGCCAAACAAATATTGTCATATATACATAAAGACATAATACCGTGATCTCTATGTGGAGTAGGGTATAAATACAGGGTGAGGTGAAAAAACTGCAACCAACTTCAGACTGCTGTCATTTTTAAGCCACTCGACCGACAGCTGTTAAAATTATTCCAGCGAAAGCTGATTATATTGTTTACAAGCGTACAAAAGCATTTTGGTGAGATTTTTTCAGAAAAAAGTTATTCGTGATGGAATTCCAGAGTGATAGTGTGATTTCATTATATTTGTCTGGAAAACCTCAAGTGGCTATCGTTAGAGCACTTCAGCATTTAAATGTGAATGAATCCTTTGTGTCTCGTACCATTGCACGTTACCGTGATACAGGTAGCGTAGCCCAGCATCAAAGGAAGTGGACGGAAGAAAACAGCAATATCACCAACAAATGGTTCGAAAAGTGAAGAAGCGACTTAATCGGAACCCGCGTCGTAGTGGACGAAAAATGGCTCATGAGCTGAACATATCTCAAATGTTGAAAAATAAGCTCGGGGTAAAGCCATTGAAATTCCAAAAAGTGCAAGAACTTACACCGCAACAGAAAGAAAATAGACTCAAAAGAGCTAAAGAGTTGTTGCGCTTGGCCGAAAGTGGTGAACTGCCGAATTTGGTTTTCTCCGATTAGAAAATGTTCTTTGTCCAGCAGTTTGTAAACAAACAAAATTATCGTGTTTACATGCCAAAGAGGTCAGCTGTAAATGTGCCCCTTCGGTTGGCCACCAGAACTCAAGCGCCGGCCATGGTGATAGTGTTTGAGTCGCCATAACAGTCGATGGTCGCTTTCCGCTCGTATTAATCAACCGTGGCATCAGAATAAATGCCGAATGTTATCACGAAAATTTTCTGGAGGGTGTATTAAAGACTTGGGCACGTAAACATTTTTGCCTTGGACAGTCCTACAGGACTCAGCACCATCGCACTCAGCACGCGCCATCCACGAATGGTTACAAAATGAGATTCCGCGGTTCATTTCCCGCGCACAATGGCCACCAAAATCTCCGGATACCAATCCGTTGGACTATTGTGTATGGAGTATTTTGGAAAGCATGGTTGGCACTAAAAAATACCAAAATGTCGATAACCTCCAGCAAGCGCTTCGCCGTGAATGAGCAAAAATGCCGCAGAGCAACATTCGGGCAGCGTGTGATGGTTTCATTGGCCATTTGAAGGCCACAATTCGTACCAAAGGTAACCAATTCGAACAAACCTAAACTTGTTCTAAAATTTGATGCTATTTCCGACATTTTGCATGTCCGTCCGTCTGTCTGTCCATGTATTTTTGTAAACAAAGTACAGTTTGCATTTATTGCCCTATCCAGATGAAATTTTGCACAAATCATTTATTTGGCCCAAGGACGAACCCTATTGAAATTGGAGATAATCGGTCAAAATTTAGATATAGCTCCCATATATATCTTCGTCCGATTTGCTTTTTATTGTGCACCAGACGTGTAATATCAGTCCGAATAGTATGGAATTTTGCACGTACGATCAGATTAGACCTGAAAATAAGTATGCCAAATTTGATCGAAATCGGTTCAGATATAGCTATAGCTCCTATATATATTGTTCATCCGATTTGTTATTTTTGTCCTCCGCAGCCGTAATATGCACTCTGTAACAACAATATTTGGGGAAATATATCAGAAACAGCTCAGAAACACCTTTGATACATTTTATTGAGATCGGTTCAGATTTGGATATATATGGGAGCTATATATATATATCTTTATCTGATTTCAAATTAGTTTTGCACCAAATCGGCAATACAAGTCCGAATTAAAAAGATACAAATGCTTCGGCATATTTAGTCCTTTGAACTTTAAATTAAAATTGTAATCATAGCGTGTATGATGGAATTCTCCCATAAAATCTTTTAATTGTTATATGGAGCTCTACTAAATTAGCAAAGTGGTGTAGGGTATCATAAAGTCGGCCCCGCCCGACTTTAAGACTTTCTTTATTGTTTTTTTTTTTTTTTGTAGTATATGCCAATCTAACGTTTCAAACACGTTTTCTCAAAAAACTTGGACACTTATTTGCAGAAATCACTCTTGCACAGTATCCGGAGCAGGACCAAACTATATTACCTTCATTTATCACAGCATTTATTAAATTTAAACTAAAATTATTTCAGAAATACACATCGGTCGTATCATCAGTCTCTGGGCAAATAATTTTTCTCATACAACAATTGGGATAATCCAAATCAGGATTTTCTATATCACCCCACCAACATGGTGGCTCTAGAATAATGTATCTGTAATCGCAACTATAAAAAATAAAACAATTTAATAATTAATAATTTAAATAATAATTATGAAATTCGGACATACCTTTCAATGTGACCCACCAGCTTCTCCCCACACGAAAATCGTTGGCATTTCCCCTTTGGCTTGGCCGTTTCGCCGGGCGAAATAATTAAATCTTCATAGACACATTTGCCGGGATGCTCTAAAAAATAATAAAAAATTATAATTGAATTAAACATGAGTTTTCTTCGAAACTGAGGTCGTTGCTTCTTCTCTGAATAATTGGAATTTAGTCGTGTTCTGACATGTTATAAAGTCAAGGGATCAACCTGTAATTCTTAATTTGATCTAATTTTATTGTACTTTTTTTTCAAATCACCTTTTACATAATTAAAAAAAATATTTTCGAATTAAAAATTCAAATTCCGATTTTATTACCTGCCGTGCCATAGAACGATTCCAAACTCTTGGCAAAGGTGCCAACAACGCCAAGCAAACAAAACAGCAAAACGAGCGATAAGAATTTCATCTTGGCCTCTCAATAAGCAATTCTACAGTAGACTAGCCAAACATGGGCAATTGATTTTTATATGACGGTGATCCACCAATTGAAGTACTCATCATCAGTGGTATAACTGATACGACCTTCACAAAAAGGTTCAATACTCCCAAAGAGGGGGTTCGATTGAGATGTGTCAAAATGTGACGGAATGTGTTTAAAGTAGTAAAACAAGTACAGTAAAACCTCTCAAGTTGTCATTTTTATAGCCTACACCACATGGTGGTAAGGGTAGAAAGCGAGATAGACAGATAATTACTTTTGAGGATCTACATACATCTCTCTGTCCGTCCGTCTGTTCATGTTTTTTTGTAAACAAAACGCAGGTCGCATTTATTATTCGACATTATCATTGCAAACACAATTTGTTTGACACAAGGACTAACCCTATTGAAATTGGTGGGAATCGCTTCAAATTTAGATATAACTCCCATGTATATCTTCAACCGATTTCGGTTTAATTGTGCACCAATTGACTAATATCAGTTCAAATGACCTGAATTTATGTACATCCAACTGAATTCATGCTAGAAATAAATACTTCAAATTTGGTAAAAATCGGTTCAGATATAGCTCCCATATATATGTTTCATTCGATTTGGGATTTTAAGTCCCTCACATACGTAATATGCACTCCACAACTGTAATCTTTGGTAGCAGATATCAGATACAGCTCAGAGATAGGTTTTAAAAATTTTGCAAAGATCAGTTCAGATTTGGATATAGCTCCCATATATATCTTTATCCCATTTCAGGTCTTTTGTGCACCAAAGCACAAATGGACTGAATTTTGGTACTTCCGACGGAATTCATCCTAGAAATAAATTCTTCAAATTTGGTGAAAATTGGTTCAGATATATCTATAGCTCCTATAAATAAGTTTCATCCGATTAAGTCCCTCACATGCGTAATATGCACTCCAAAAAATGATATTTGGTACCACATAACTTATGGAGCTCAAAATACACCTGTCAAATTTTATCGAGATCGGCACAGATTATGATATACCTATGCCCAATTTTTATCACATTAGGTTATAGTTCCCATATATCTTCAATTGATTTCGGGTTAATTGTGCATCAATTGGCTAATATCAGTTCAAATGACCTGAATTTTGCTACATCCAACTGAATTCATGCTAGAAATAAATACTTCAAATTTGGTGAAAATCGGTTCAGATATAGCTATAGCTCCCATCCGATTTGGTGTTTAAGGTCCCTCACATACGTAATATGCATTCCACAACAGTTATCTTTGGTAGCAGATATTAGACACAGCTCAGAAAAAGGTGTGTAAAATTTTGTCAAGATCGGTTCAGATTTGAATATAGCTCCCATATATCTTATCTGATTTCAGATTTTTTGCGCACCAAAGCACAAATGGACTGAATTTTGGCACTTCCGACGGAATTTATCCTAGAAATGAATTCTTCAAATTTGGTGAAAATTGGTTCAGATATATCTATAGCTCCTATAAATAAGTTTCATCCGATTAAGTCCCTCACATGCGTAATATGCAATCCAAAAAATGATATTTGGTACCACATAACTTATGGAGCTCAAAAATACATCGGTCAAATTTTATCGAGTACTTCAAATTTGAAAATCGGTCTAGATATAGCTATAGCTCCCAGGTATATGTTTCATCCGATGTGAGGGACATGCGTAATATGCACTCCACAACAATGATATTTGCTATTGAAAATGAGATATATCGGTCCATGTTTTGATATAGTCCCCATAAAACGGTACCTCCCGATATTCGGCATTTCGATGATTTTTGCGACATCTTTTCAAGGATTTGTATAAAAATTAATATTTGTAGTTTGTAATGGGTTCTAGGCCCGGTGGCGAATCATAGTATATATGGGTCAACGTTTTGTTATAGCCCCCATATGACGGTACCTTCCGATATTCGGTGTTTTGAAGCTTTGATGCCACATTTTTTCACGGATTTGTCTAAAATTGGTATTTGTATGTGTCAATAGATTTTCGATCCAGTGGTGAAACATAGTATATATGGGTCAACGTTTTTGTATAGCTCCCGATATTCGGCATTTTGATGATTTTTGCCACATTTTTTTACGGATTCTTTTAAAAATTTGCCTTTGTAGTTCATAATTGGTTCTAACTTCTGTGGCGAAACATTGATGTATAGGTCCATGTTTTGGTATAGCCCCCATATAACAGTACAGGGTTGCCCATATTCGACGGACCCATCTGGCAACGCCATAACTTTTGACAGATATGTCACATCGCTTAATGACATACCGCGTTTGAAGCGTCAGTCCAAGCAGATCTTTACCATGAACCAATATACGCCACGCGAAATAGTTGAAATTTACATTCAACAGAAGAAGTCAATTGTGAAAACTCAACGTGCTTTTAAAACGTTAAACAATGTGAGAAGTGTGCTTTCTAAGATATTATACGAAAAATTTTCGAAAGGTAAGGCTCCTTCTAATCCGAAGAGGCCATATAAAAGTCGACCAAGGTGATCGGCCGAGAATATCGCTGCCGTACGAGCCAGTGTTGAGAGGTCCCCAAGAACATCCCAAAAACGCCGTTCTCAGCAGTTGGGCATGGCTCGGTCCACTTTACAACGGATTATTCGCATTGATTTGCATTTGTTCCCGTACAAAATTCAATTGACGCAAAGAATGTCGCCTGCGGACAAGCCTCGTCGATTGGAATGGGCCCAACGAGTCATTGGGTCCGTTGAATATGGGCAATCCTGTACGTCCCGCTATTCGGCAGTTTAATGATTTTTATTACATTTTTTCACGAATTTGTATAAAAATTGGTATTTGTAGTTCATGATGGGTTCAAGTTCCGGTGGCAGAACATTGAGTATTTAGTTCCCCGTTTCCCTATAGCGCACATTACCGACGAAATTGTTTCAAATTTGGTATTTAAGAAGATTTGGTACATGACAATCCTTAAAGTATTAAATTTTCTATAGAGGATACCGTTTTGGTATGGCCCCCATATAACGGCCTGATCCACTTTAACAACATTATCCAAATAGTTTTACTTGTATTTATAGTTTATAGTGGAACACTTTTATAAAAAAAAATTCTTTAATGGTGGAGGGCGTTAAAAGTTAGACCCGGCCGAACTTAATGTTTTTACTTATTTAAAGATCGGTTCAGTTTTGATATAGCTCCCATATATATCTTTATTTAATTTCAGGTTTTTTTGTGCACCAAATAGCTATTATCAACCCATATGGACAGAATTTTGGCACTTCCTGCAGAATTCAGTCCAGAAGCAAGTACTTAAAATTTTTGGTGAACATCGCTTCAAATATAGTGGTGTAGTGTATCCTATACTCGACTTTTGTCCTTTCCTTACTGGTTTCATTTATATACATTATTTTTTTAATTTTTTTATTTAATTTATTTTTATACCCTCCACCTTGTAAAGGAGGGTATATTAACTTTGTCATTCCGTTTGTAACATCCTTAAATATTCGTCGTAGACCCCATAAAGTATATATATTCATAATCAGCATAAAATTCTAAGTCGATTTAACGATGTCCGTCTGTCTGTCTGTCTGTCCGTCTGTCTGTCTGTTGAAATCACGATACAGCCCACATTATTTGACATAGAGCGCCAAAATTTAGCAGAGCAATTGGTATTGTGTCTAGGATGGTTGGTATTGAAAATAAGATATATCGGTCCACGTTCTGGTATAGTCCCCATATAACGGTACCTCCCGATATTTGGTATTTTGATGATTTATGCCACATTATTTAACGGATTTGTCTGAAAATTGGTATTTGTAGGTCATAACGGGTCCCTGTATGTGTGGCAAAACATAGCATGTATAGGTCCACGTTTTGGTATATCCTTCATATATTGGTACCTCCCGATATTCGATATTTTGATTATTTTTGCCACAGTTTTTAACGGATTTGTCTAAAAATTGGTATTTGTTGGTCATAATGAGTTCCAGCTCCGGTGGCGAAACATTGCATGTATGGGTCCATGATTTGGTATAGCCCCCATATAACGGTACCTCCCGATATTCGGTATTTTGATGGTGTTTGCAACATTTCACTGATTTGTGTAAAAATTGGTATTTGTGAGTCATAATGGGTCCTAGTTCGTGTGGCGAAACATTGTATGTATAGGTCCACTTTTTGGTATAGTCCCCATATAACGGTAGCTCCCAATATTCGGTATTTTGATGATTTTTGACTGATTTTTTCACGAATTTCACTGAAAATTTGGTAGTTGTAGATCATAATGGGTCCCAGTTCGTGTGGCGAGTCATTGTAATTATAGGTCCACGTTTTGGTATAGCCCCCATATAACGGTACCTCCCGATATTCGGTAATTTGATGATTTTTGCCCCTTTCTTTCACGTATTTGCCTGAAAATTGGTATTTGTAGGTCATAATGGGTTCTAGCTCCGTTGGCGGAACCTTGCATGTGTAGGTCCACGATTTGGTAGAGCCCACATATAACGGTACCTCCCGATACTCGGCATTTTAATGGTTTTTGCCACATTTCTTCTAATGTTTCCTTTACCCTAAGGTGGAGGGTATTAAAAGTTTGGCCCGGCCGAACTTAATGTTTTTTTACTTGTTTTATTTATATATTTATTTTTTTTATTTTTTTTTTTTTTTTTTTTTTTGAAGTGAAACATTTTGTGCAAAACTGTGTGTTTACTTGAAATAGTATCCACTGTCAACAATTTAAATAAAAACTAGTTTTTGCTAAATATTATTTCCGATATTTATGATGGCATATAAATTATGAAAATTATTCCCCGAACACTATAACCGCAAACAGAAGCAACATCGTAAATAAATATTTATTTTTCTTTTTAATTTTAGCGTCAGCAAAAATCGGTTTTGTTTTTAGAATATGAAACAACTTGGGAGGCCCATATATTTTGTGCTGATCTTCAACTGACACAACAAATTTCATTCATTCGTTAAGCAGCTGTGGCTAAAATAAGACAGATATCAAAATGTGGCAAACTTTAGAAATATAGTTTAACCATTAATTTTGTCGATAACAGTTCAGTTTAAAAATATATATTATAGTAGATTAAAATATCTGGAGTGAATCGAGGAATTTATAGTTGAATTGGAGAAGGTAGAACTGAATTATAGGTGCGTTTTCTGTATGTCAATAGGAATATAAAACAAGTTAAAAAATATCAGTTGGTTTATACGACAGATATATACCCTCAGCCAGTGCTCGATTATTTAAATATATTTTGACTTCTGTTATGATTGTTCAAATTGTTGACACTCTATGAAGTAGGTTCCGAAAGAATTGTACATTTCGTATCGGACCTAAATAAATATGATAGAAATATGATAGTTTTTAGAAAATGTTAAATATGCGTGAGGTACCAGATATAGTCGACCGAAATATTCCATTTTCATGCTTCATCTAATACATATAAAAATATTGGTATGGGCAATATTACAAGAAAATCGAACATTTATATCCAATTTATGGAAAATCATAAATTCCGTATTCATCTCAGGTTTCTGGCTTTGAGAGATATATTTAGATATAGCAAGTTGTAACGAATCGCTGACTTGTTTCGCAAGTTATGACAGATAAAATTATGGAGAATTGTGACCCTTTGTGGGTGAGGTACCACAAGGGGTTGGCAGATATCTATCATCTTTACAATAGATCTTGCGTTGGCAAAAATGTTCCGATGTGTGAAATTTGAGAGAGTTGGATGCTTATTTCGCTTTCTGCGAGCGTTTTTTTTTTTCTTCTTTAAACCTTGAACCCTATGTGGGATAGTTAGTAGCAGAAATGGTCCGATCTCTAACAACCTTATAACAGAGCTTGTGTTGATGGAAATATTGAGATTCGCCAAGTCTAAATGGAATCGGATGTTAACTTTTCATTTTATGAACTTCTTGGATATTCAAAATTGTGACTCTTTGTGGTGGGAGGTACCAGAAGTAGTGGACCAATATATCTCAACTTCCCAGCAAATCTTGCGTTTGTAGAAATAATGGGATGTGTCAAACATCCGATCGGATTCCTAATTCGGATTTTATAAACGTTTTGAATATTCAAAATGTTGACCATTTGTGAGGGAGTTACCCGAAGGAATAGTCCGATCTCTACTATCTCTATAACAGTCATTGGATCAATAAAAATACTGTGATGTGTGTAATTTGAAGACAATCGGACTCGGAAGAGTTGGAGGTACCTAGGTACCGCACCAGGCCTCGCACTGACGCAAATATTAGGATTGCAAAATAGGACTATATTTTCTCTTTCTGTGCAGTAAAATATTTTCATACCCTCCACCTTGGAACGGAGGGTATAATAACTTTGTCATTCCGTTTGTAACATCCCCAAAATATTCATCGTAGACCCCATAAAGTATATGTATTCATAATCAGCATAAAATTCTAAGTCGATTTAACGATGCCCATCTGTCGTTGGAATTGAATGAGATATGATGAAATGAGATATATTGGTCCCTGTTATGGTTTAGTGCCCATATAACGATACCTTTCAATATTCAGTATTTTGTTGATTTTTGTCACATTTCCCACGAATTTGTATAAAAATTGGTAATTGCAGGTCATAATGAGTTTTTGCTCGTATCGTATTGTATGTATAAGTCCACGTCTTCGTATAGCCCCCATATAACTATACCTTCCGACATTCGGTATTTTGATAATTTTAGCAACATTTTTACCAGAATTGTTTTAAATTTTGTATTTAAAGTTCGTAATAGGTACTACAGCCTATAAAAAATCTCGTATGTCGGTCCTTGTCTTAGTATAGCCCCTATATACGATACCTCATAATTGTTCATTTTCTACGTTTTTTATACCCTCCTCATTCCGTTTGTAACTCCTCGAAATTCTCATGTCAGACCCAATAAAGTATAATTCTAGGTCGATTTATCCGTCCGTCCGTCTGTCTGTTTGTTTGTCTGTCTGTCCGTCTGTTGTAATAACGCTATCTTTCGAATGAATTGAGATAGATGGCTAAGTTTTTGCACACATGTTTATTTTTCCAGTAGGCAGGTTAAGTTCGTAAATGGGCCATGTAGGTCCACGTTTTCATATAGCCCCCATATAACGGTACCTCCCTATATTCGGTATTTTGATGATTTTAGCGACATTATTCACGGGAATTGTTTTAAATTTGGTATTTGAAGTTCGAAATTAATACTACAGCCTAAGACAGAAAATTGTTTGTGCAGGTCCAGGTCTTCGTATAGGCCCCATATATCAGTGTCTTTTGTATGTATGTGTATTTTGACGATTTTAGGTACAATACCCACCGAAATTGTTTGAGATGTGGTATTTGAAGTTCGTAATGGATGCTACAGCCTGTGACAGGAAATTGTCTATGCAGGTCCAGGTCTTCGCACAGCTCCGGTAAAACAGTACCTCCCTATATACGATATTTTGATGATTTTAACTACATTATTCACCGTTTATTTCAAGTTTCGAATTTGAATATGGTAATGGCTTATAACAAACAATGCCTATGTAGGTCCACGTTGTATAAACCCCAATGTAACGGCTATATTCGGTATTTTTAGGATCTTAACAGAATTTTTTAACGGATTTAATTTTTTGGAAATTTCCAAATTCGTTTCAAATTGTGGAAGATATTCGAAACTCGGCCGGACCGAACTTACTGCTTTTTAACTTGTTTTTTTTTTTGACAATTTTCCAATTCCTTCAAAGTGATGGAGAGTATTAAAGTTCGCACCTGATGAATGTAGGTGTTTTTTAAAATTTCCTTAATAAGCTCATTGTTTGGTAATAAGAATTTTCGCTGAACCTAGTTGGGGTATTGCAAAAGCATTGACAAAACAATAATACCGCTTTGATTTCATAGTGAAGGAAATACAAAGCATAATAGTTTTGCTGATAAGGGATCTCATAGGTTGAACAAAAAACTAAAATTTCCGCAACAAGAGTTGGCATTTGTCTATAAACGGTGTAACAAGATGAAATCTCTAATTTTTGTTTTATTATTTGCCTTAATTTCCACGACGTTCTCAGCTGAAATTTCTGGATATTTTAGCGATGCAGGTAAAATTTGAAATGGTATTTTTAAAATTTCATATAAATTTCTGTTATTTTCAATCTATAGATTTTCCTGGTGCATGTTACTATGATGATCTTCTTGTGTGGCCCGATGACATGGGCCATCCAAAGAATGGCAAATGTGAACGTCTCTATTGTCTAAATGAGGAGGGTTATGGCAAATTATTAAGGTTTGTTATTGTATGCGATTTTTATTGCGAGTTTTGTCATATGTACAAATTTCGATATTTTTCAGTTGCGGCGTTTCAAAACCTCCCTTGGGCTGTAAATTTGGTGATGTCATTGCACCCAATGCCAACTATCCCGATTGTTGTAAAAGAGAAATTATTTGCTAATAGAATGTCAATTTAACAATGGCTTGACAAAAATTGTTGATTTACATATACCACAGATGAGTTAAAATGCCGGGACTTTATGGAAAACTGAAATTCCACAATAGCCCAGTTATCGATGTGCGTGTGTGTGTGTATTGTTACAATTTATATAAAACAATTTATTTGGTTTGTATTTCAAATATTAAATGTTGTTATATATTTCGAAAAAATAAATTCCCTTTCAATTTATGTGTTTGCGAATGTGTGGGTGTGTGTGTGTTTGAGTGTGTGAGTGTGTGAGAATAACAAAAATATAACACCTATTCACACATTCTCACGTTAAGCACCAATTCCAGTTATGGTCCTCCAAAAATTGAAATTTAAGCCATTTCAATAGTTTCAATGAAAATCCACTAGCACTTCGAAATTGAAAAAGCACATGCAGACATACACCCGCACACAGATACAACAAGTTCATATATCTAAAATTCTAATACAGAATTTAAAATTAAACAATATCAGCCACAGTGAATGGAGTGGTGATTGCAATAAAGTGATTCATTGGATAACCGTACTCAACACGGTTAGTAGATGTGTTGATTATATGCTTGTGAAGAGAAAAAAATATCATAAATATTTTTAGCTTTAAATATAGGGTTATTGAAAGGATTTATGAATATGGAGCATAGATCTATTTGAAATATTTGACTAAGTCATATTCATATAAGGATGGGTACTTTGGGGAAACACATATTTGACATTTCCTGGACCATTTGATGGATACATTATTTTTGTAATTTCATATACCTTATACCATTAACCAGTAAAGATAGTCATAAAGTCGGGCGGGGCCGACTTTATGATACCCTACAAAACTTTGCTAATTTAGTAGATCTCCACATAACAATTAAAATTTTTTATGGGAGAATTCAATCATACAAGCTATGATAACAATTATAATTTAAAGTTCAAAGGACTAAATATGCCGAAGCATTTGTAACTTTTAAATTCGGAATTGTATTTCCCATTTGATATATATGGGAGCTATATCCAAATCTGAACCGATCTCGATAACATTTGGCAAAGATATTTCTGAGCTGTATTTGATATATTTCCCTGAATATCGTTGTTACGGATTGCATATTATGGCTGTGGGTAACAAATACAACAAATCGGATGAACAATATATATGGGAGCTATATCTATATCTGAACCGATCTTCACCAAAATTGGCATACTAGCTTCTAGACTCAATTCGGTTGTATGTGCCAAATTCCATCCCGTTTGGGCAAATATTAGACGTTTGGTGCACAATAAAAGGTAAATCGGACGAAGTTATATATGGGAGCTATATCCAAATCTGAACCGATCTCGATAAAATTTAGCAAAGGTATTTCTGAGCTGCATTTGATATATTTCCCAAAAATATTGTTGTTACAGAGTGCATATTACGGCTGCGGAGGACTAAAATAACAAATCGGATGAACAATATATATGGGAGCTATAGCTATATCTGAACTGATTTTGATGAAATTTGGCATACTTATTTTCAGGCCTAATTTCGTTGTATGTGCCAAATTCCATACTATTTGGGCTGATATTACACGTTTGGTGCACAATAAAAGGCAAATCGGACGAAGATATATATGGGAGATATATCTAAATTTTTACCGATTATCTCCAATTTCAATAGGGTTTGTCCTTGGGCCAAACCAATGATTTGTGCAAAATTTCATTTTAATCGGATAATAAATGCGACCTGCATTTTGTTTACAAGAATACATGGACAGACGGACGGACAGACGGACGGACAGACGGACTGACATGCATAAATCAACTCCGAAAGTGATTCTATGGAGATCCTCAAAAGTAACTATGGGTCTATCTCGCTTCCTTCTCCATGTTACAAACAAATGCACAAAGACATAATACCCTTACCACTATGAATGAGAAGAGAAACCAAACACTCTGTGTTGAGATCAGTTCCAAATCTCACTCCTGAGAAATAAAACACAACCGCTCGTTTGGGTTGCTGGTTTAAATCTGATTTTATTTTCAAAAATATTGTTCTTAACTGCTACAAAAACTGATCTAACTTAACCTATTCGCAGCCACACAATTGTCCTTATCTATTTTTAGATTTACAATGAACCATTGCATAGCTGTTTGTCCCTTCATTCAAGTGGTCTTGGCTACCTACTGGCGCATCGATAATTGTGTGTGTGTGGGTCATGGACTTTATTATTTTACACATTACCATATGCGACAGCGCACAAGATCACTGAATTGTATACATGTGGTATTTTATGACCGCTGGGAAACTGATAATGTTTAAATATTTATTTTTAATTTTTGGATTTTCCCAGCGCCTCAACCGCACACAAAAGGATGTACAAAGTATTTTGTACAACTATGTGGTTTAGGGTATAAAAAGACTTTGGAATATATGAAAATTATATGTCATCGTCCAAGAAAGAAGCCCATTCATTAATTGGATAATTTTCCGGAATCGAAATGGGAAAAATTGGGTGCCTTTCTTTACAAATTTTCTGCTAATAAAATACGTTAAAGTACAGGGTGAGATAAAAAAACTGCAACGAAGTCAAACGCCATAACTTTTACATCTGTTTTTTTTAATTTTATTGACTGAAAGCAAAAAATGTCGGAAATAGCATCAAATTTTAGTATAAGTTTAGATTTGTTCAAATTGGTCAGCGTTGCAATGCTACCGTCACACGCTGCCCGAATGTTGCTCTGCGGTATTTTGGCCCATTCCCTACGAAGCTCTTGCTTAAGGTGATCGACACGTTGGTATTTTTTAGAGCCAACCTTGCTTTCCAAAATACTCCAGACACAATAGTCTAACGGATTGGTATCCGGAGATTTGGGTGGCCATTGTGCACTGGAAATGAAGCGAGGAACCTCATTTTGTAGCCACTCTTGGTTGGCGCGTGCTGAGTGCCATGGTGCTGAGTCCTGTTGGAATGTCCAAGGTCGGCGGCCAAAATGTGTGCGTGTCCAATGCTTTAATACACCCTCCAGTATATTGCCGCGATAATATTCGGCATTTATTCTGATGCCTCGGACGATTAATACGAGCGGGGAGCGACCATCGGCTGTTTTGGCGGCGCTTGAGTTCTGGTGGCCACATTTTCAGATGACCTCCTTGGCAAGTAAGCACGATCATTTTATTTTTTGAAAACTGCTGGACAACTAATGTTTTCTCATCGGAGAAACCCAAATTCGGCAGTTCACCACTTTCGGCCAAGCGAAGCAACTTTTTAGCTCTTTTGAGTCTATTTTCTTTCTGTTGCGGTGTAAGTTCTTGCACTTTTTGGAATTTCAATGGCTGTACCCCGAGCTCATTTGTCAATGTTTGCCGAATGGAATATTGCGATATGTTCAGCTCACGGGCCATTTTTCGGCCACTGCGTCGCGGGTTTCGATGAAGTCGCTTCTTTACTTTTCGAACCATTTCTGCTGAGGTTGCAGTTTTCTTATGTCCACTTCGTTGAAGACCGGCTACGCTACCAGTATCACGGTAACGAGATGTTACGAGACACAAAAGATTTCTTCACAGTTAAATGCTGGAGTGCTCTAACGATAACCACTTGTGGTTTTCCAGCCAAATATAAAGGAATCACACTATCACGCTTGAATTTCATCACGGATAACTTTTTTTCTTGAAAATTCTCAGCAAAATGCTTTTGTACGTTTATAAACAATATAATGAGCAGTCACTGAAATAATTTTAACAGCTGTCGAACGAGTGGCTTAGAAATGACAGCAGTCTGAAGTTGGTTGTAGTTTTTTATGTCATAGGGGACGGAAAATTAGAGATTTTCGATATTTTGGAATATACCCCTTTAACATAATCCCTAATATCATGTTCAAAAAAGGAATATATCTTAACTGATTCCTGCCGTCACCTGTTTTTTAATATTTAACGAAGACTCCTAATTATGAATCATAGTTTTTTAAAATAATTTCAAGAACTTTGTCAAGTTCTTCCGTTTTAAATATTTCTAACCTCCTGAAAAATATTTTAAAAATGTTCAAGGCCTTTTTAGAATCGTGGTTTTTGTTATGTATCTTTCTATGACTTCTCAGAATCGTTGGTTTTTTTAAATATTTGTTAAGGTCTATTTTAGAATTGTTAATTCTTAAAACAATATTTTTCAAAGAAAGTACATTTTTCAAGGTATATGGTAGAATCGTAGATATTATTTTCAGAATCTCAGTAATAGAGAGAATAGGTTTTTTGTATTTTTCAATGACATATTAGGTAAAGTTTTATTTTTTTAAATAATTTTCATTAACTGGTTAGAATCAAGAATTTTTTTAAAAAGAATCGCGGATACTTTGAGCTCAATTTTCGAAACCTTTATTAGAATTGGGGTTTTACTACTTTCTTCCGGATTTTTTTGAAAAAAATAAATTGTAGGACGTTTTTTATTGTGATTCTGCCAAAGAATCGGGGATATTTCTTTATGCCTTTTTTGTAAAATTGTGGATTTTAAGTCTCCTTTCAGAATACTTTATTTTTTAAATCTTTTAATGTTTTTATTTTTAATAATATCTTTCTCGTTAGAATCGAGTTAAATATAATCATGGATTCTTTGAACAATTTTTTCAAACTCTTTTTTAGAATATTTTTTTCTAATTTTTTCTTTAGGACTTTGGTAGAAATATTCAAGGAAATCTATATCTATAAAAGAGGAAAATGTTTGTACGTTTGTTTGTTTGTTTGTTTGTTTGTTTGTAATTTATGGACTCGAAAACTGCTGAATAGATTTTTCTGAAAATTTCCATATATACTGCAACATCGCCTGAAAGTAACATAGGCTATATACATTTTTGAATTTCCACTTGGAACTGGAGATATAGCATCAGAATCGGAGGTACCTCCCAAAAACTTAGATTTTATATGCACATATCTATTGATCGGTTAAAGATACAGTCTCCAAATTTGGAATACGTAACGGAATTTGGAACAAAAATAAGTTTGCTAAATTATATTGTAATCGGTTCAGATTTGGATATAGCTCCCATATATATTTTCGACCGATTTCGTTCATTTGATGCCTCAAACACAATATGAATGTTCGATTCCAATGAAATTTGGAATATGTGACGGGATTTGATCCGAAAATAAATTTGTCAAATTATATTGAAATCGGTTCAGATTTGGATATAGCTCCCATATATTTTTTCGGCCGATTTCAAGCATTTGGTGCACCAAACACGCTATGTATCCCCAATTTCAATGAAATTTGAAACGTGTGATAGATTTTATCTAAAAAAATTTATTTCCCAAATTATATTGAAATCGGTTCAGATTTGGATATAGCTCCCATATATATTTTCGGCCGATTTCATGTATTTGGTGGACCAAATAAGATATGTATGTCCAAATTTAATGAAATTTAAAATAAGTAACGGAATCGGGAGCAAAAATGAATTTTTCAAATTATATTGAAATCGGTTCAGATTTGGATATAGCTCCCATATATATTTTCGACCGATTTCATGTATTTGATGCACCAAACACGCTATGTA